CAACCCATTCTCTTCAATACTAACAAACCCCCTCCTCAACTGGCTCTGGCCCATTGCAGGCCCCATAATAATCATTCTTCTCGCCTGTCTCTTCTTACCCCGTATAATAAAGTTCATCAAATCCCAAGTCGGAAAAATCTCTAATCAAGCTTTCAACCAGCTTTTACTCAGGAACTACCAGCTTCTGGCCACAGAAGATCCCTCACCCTCACGTAACCTCCTCACCACACGCTGAGATGGACCCCTCTCTCCACTGGAAACTGTTCCTGGAAACAATGGCCGCAGACGCCTGGCTCCTGGCACCCGTATCCTCTTGGCACCACCATTGGAATCAACAGGTCCTCGACCTATAGTTACAGGGAACCTTCATTGATTTCCAAACGTGAAGAAGTCCACATCTACCCGTCCTTACTGCGGGGAGTCCTATCAACCCTTTCCTCCCAATCCTCAAGCCCTCACTCCCTTCTCCGCCCCCGTTCAGCAGGAAGCAGTCAGAGAGAAAGCAACATCCACAACCCCATAGAGGAGAAAGGGGGGAATGAAGGGCCCCCCACCAGTAAGATGGTGAACTTCCGGCTTCTCTTCCGGGTCCTCGGTTCCTGACGACGCCACCTGAAGCCCAATCACCTCTCCCCCGCCTCCCAATCCCAGCACCTAGCCAATAGCCACCAGCCCCGTAGAAGTGACACCTCAATCACCCCATGCCCCTTCCTATATAACCCAGCACCTTTCCCTAATGAAGCGTAATTCTCCGGTGAATTGCTGCTGTGTGTCGCTCCTTCCTTTCACTTAGGACCTAGCCTTTGAGGCTTGACCATTTCCAGACATGGTCCTATAACCTCCTATCACTTATGCTACCAGTATTTTTCTAAAAATTTCTTTGCTTAAGCTAGTCAGAATCAAATGCTACTTTTCCCATTCAACAAAAATTTTCAGATTTCCATTTTGCATAAAATGCCATAAATCCTGGAAATTGAAATCTAATACATTTTTGTATTTGTAACTATTTCTTAAAAATCTACGTGACAGCAAACGGCTTTATTTTAAGGCTTGATTTGAGTATTCATTCACTGCAAAATATTCATCAGGATCAAAATCAATGGAGCCAGTGAGGTACCTGGCTCTTTCCCGGGCCGCATCCTCACGGGCCTTCTCCTTTTCTTGCCTCTGTTGTTCAATTCGGGCTTCTTGCTCTTTCCGCTTCATTAATAATTCTTCTACACGGGCCTGTCTTTCTGCCTCTAGAGCTCTCTTGCGTTCCTAACATCAGAAATATTTTAAAAGATGTTACAATTACATGTAAAATAAAACTTACTAAAGGTGACATAGCTTTGACCATAAGTTTATTTATCTAAGCCAAGTAGATCCCTGGCTTGCCACTATGTATACTTCTCAGAAATTAAACAAAAATTAAGTATCAATGATATCTGGTTTTCATATGTCATTTATTAGTGTTACACATAATTTTCTAAATAAATGCTATTTTAAGCAGATACTATGTTATTCATATTCTGTGAGAACCTAATAAGCATTTTCTAATTAACCACTTCCAAAGCTATGAGTTTAAAAAAGGTTTTAGAAATACCAGAACATGATGAAGAAAGCATAGTTAACTGATTTTGTTTCTAATCTAATTATTCATAAGGGAATTAAGTGAAGAAAAGCTTGTGGCAAAGAGAAAGAAGCATTATAGTAGAACATAATGGGTGAGAGTGGGCACTGGGTAAGTTCCCTGACCCCATTATTTACTAGCTGGGTGATTCTGGTCTACTCATTATATCTGTGCCTTAGTTTTCCAGAAAACAAGTAACAACAGTACTTATGTCTTAGGATATTGTGAAGAACAGATGAAATTATACATGCAAAATAATTACCACATGGCCTGGCATGAAGTAAATTCTCAGTAACTATTTATCACCATCATCATTAAGGCAGAAGATACTTCCTCAAAGTACTCTGAAATACTGTGCCCCATGTGTCTTTTAGCTAGTAGGAGTATCTTGCTGATTTTCACCATATTACTAGGTGTTTTAATGTATTTCTCCCAATTCATCTGCATTCCCCAGGTAGCTCACACAACCTCTCCCCAGCTCCTTCGCTCTATGATTAATGGAACACACTGATCTAGGCTCTAGGACCACTTACACAGCTTAGAGCAAGTCATTTCACCTTGAAGAGCCCCAGTTTGTTGTGAGATCTAAATTACTAATACAGGTAAGTACTACTGCAAAGCGTTAAGTGTAAGTATAAAGTGTTTAGCACATAGTAAATGCTCACTAAATGACAGCAGAAAAAAATACAGAAGCAGTTTCTGTTTAGAGAACACTGAGGATGCAAATATTTCTAAAAGTTAACTAAGCTCACAATTATAATTTCTTATCTACCACAAGCCCTATCTAACCCAGGGGAAGATAATCTTTTAAAGCAGTAAACTGAAAGGGTCCCTATTTTTTATTTTGTTTCGTTTTTTGTTTTTGAGGAATGCACTGATTTCAGGAGACCATAGCTGACAGACTACAGATTGCTGGCAGAATGCAATCAGATTTCAAATATATTCTTTGCTGTCTGGCATTCTATTCATGATCTGGTTAAAACTATTTCTCATTACTAAGTAGAATATGTGGAAAATAGGATAGCTGTATAAGATCGCAAAAACTCTTAAGATTAAAAACAATCAAATCTGGTACCGAAAACTTTCTATGAAAAAATATATCTAAAAAAAAGAGTTTTCTCTGAAACTCAAATATATTGAAGTTCTAAAATAATCTGTATTATGTCAGAAAACACAAATTTCACAAAATACAAAAGGCTTAGGCATTAAATATAAAGAATTAAACCAGAACTTTTCATTTCATATTTTAGAAAACCAAAAGTTCTAGGAAGATATTTTTTTAATTATAAATTGTTCTTATAAATAAAATACATTATTTAATTACATTATGGGTATGTGCTATATAGCCAAGTTTTATGCATAAATATAACTCAACCTGCTGAATGTTTTCATGGATGTAAGCAATACTGCAACATTGCACTAGTAGAATTAAAATAACTGGATTTCAAGAAATATCCAATCATTTAGTTTCTATTTTTTAAAAGTGGAAAATATAACTGATAGCTGTACAGATAATGAGCCAAATTAGTAAATTCAGATAGTCTTTGCCTTTCTAACATTTAAGCTTCCTAAAGGTAGAAAACTTTGAATCCCACAAAAGCATCTTGCACAGGTCAGGCATTGCATAAACACCTGTTATTAAATAAATGAAGCATAACTTTACAGAGTAATAAATATCATAAATCTATATACCTACAAATAGAGATTATAAACCTACAACAAAAGAATTAGATATCTAACTCTTAAACCTTCTGAAACTTCTTGGACCAACACATACTTTGCTTCTCAGTAAGGGATGTGTTTATGGTATGTTAAAAGAATTCTGAAATCACCTTCTTTATTCCCACAATTCAAATGATAAGGAGAGAAGACAAGGCAGAATAACTAAGGAAGTTGAGATTACAACTAACCAATAACTTACATAACAAAAATGGCAAATTGAAAATATATGACAGCAACATTAACAAAGTATTTCACTTATAAGAAACAGGGATCTCAACTGCCCCTTAACAGTTTAAAGGAATGTTTCAAGAGTAAAAGGAAAGCATATAAAGGGCCTTTGAACTCTTTATTAAGTAAATCCTTACTACTATTCCATTTACAGAATGCTTAGCATTAGGGCCTTGAATATCTGGTAGTGACTGTACTTAAAAAAAAAAAAAGTAATTATGTATGTTACATATCACCAGTGGGTTTTTCCAACAATACCAGTACATCTCAATCTTATACAGATAGGTTTTATATTTTTCATTGAAAATTAAATCCATAGGAAATTTCCAAATTTTTTAAAAGTTTTATTCAGTGGTCAAAATAATTTTAAAGAGTTGGTGAGTATAGAAAATTCCTTACTACTTTCAGAAAAGAACTGCTTTCCTTTAAGCTTCAATATTATTCCAATTTATAAAACAAGAATCATTTTAAGCTTGTATTTCAAATCTTTAAATGTACAAAATGAAGAAAAAGGAACCAATGATGTCTATTCAAAAATATACAATATTACTCATATATTTCCCCCAAAACCGAGCTAAGTTACCTCTTCCAGATAAATTTCCCTGACATTCCCTACCCACCAACAGTTATTCCCTCCTCTGTGACACCTCTGTGGTTTATACATCTCTATTACACTTTCACATTGTCTTATTATTTGCTGTAAGTACTAGTTCAATAAATGATCACTAAATGAACAAATAAGCATTATTCATAATAGACAAAGTGTGTCTGCATTTATATTTGAACACTGCAAAATTTGTTCTCTATATAAAAAATGCTAGGTCCTAAAAGAGTCTTATACTTAAGGCTTTCTACCAAGGAAGATCTAAAATAGTTAATAAAAACCCATACGGTTTATGTGTTCTTCCAATCCTGAAAATGGTAGCTAACTCAGGGTTTGCTACAGAGGTTAAAAGCTAAGCAACTGAAGTATCTGATGACACTGCCCAATAAATGAAGGGTGCTTCTTTCATAAGCATAAAGATTGTTCAGTTTTTTAAGGTTATGTATACTGGTTCAAACACAATCCAGTTTTTTTGTGGAAGGAAAGGAGCATATTCTTGCTCAGCCCAATTAAAAAAGAATGGATAATATGTTGAGAACAATACAGTCCTTCATCTGGTTGAGACAAGAGATTCAAACTCTAAAGTGCATTCTACTGAAGAAGGCACTGATTCTCCGAAGGAGAACCCAATGTCTTTTGGCAATCAGACTTCATGTTTCCAACAGAGCTATACTAAACCACATGCCCGTGAGGACAGAGACTACATCTTACTCCTTCCTGAACCCTCAGCACCCAGCTCTGAGTCTAGAACATGGAAGGTGGTCAATAAATCCTTCAAATAAATTTGCCAAATAAAATCCTACCTGAACAGCTTCATCGCGTGCTTGCTTCTCTTCCTGTCTTCGCTGACGCTCTTCTTGCAACTCATTAAGCCTCTGCTCATATTCCTTCAGTTTTGACAAAACATCATGCCGTTTATTCTGGGCTTCAAGGGTATTTATGAAAGCAATTTCATTTACCTACAATAAAAAGAAAGTGAATTTCAAATCAAAGTAATTCCAAGGCACATAATAAATTAAGAAACTTAACAGTTTTGATAAAATAATATAAAACAGTGGTAACACATACAATAAAAACTGAATGACTTACAGGCCTTTTATTTCAACATTTACCAGAAAAAATGGATAGTAATCTAGTGTATATACAAAACGACCAGGCATTAAGAATTTGCAGTAATTAAAAATCTGATATTGAAATATTTTAAAATTAATAAAAAAAGATTTTTATAGAAACCAAGTTATAAAGTTCTGCATATCACTATAATTTGCTATTACAATTACGTTTAAAATTTAAAAAGATACGTGTATGTTTTTCTATTGACCTTGAGAGGGCAAAAATGAAACCACAAATCTTTCTTTTTTTCAACATATACCAAATTTGTAACAATTCAGTACAAAGTACTGAACTATACACTGAACTATATACTCAACTTCACATATGTTGATTATTAACAGCCAGATTTTGCTAGACAGCAGTTTTTGTGGGGAAAGTGTAAATAATGATAAAGCTGGGCGAAGTCAGTTGGGGTTGAATTTCTCATTCTTGAAAGCCAGATGGAGGGCATCTTAGAGAAAAAACAGTAAAGTAAAACAGGGAAGTAAACAAACACAAGGAGCTGCCTCTCTCTGACAGAAGTACAGATACTATGAAACCATGCTGACTGGAATAAAACCTATCAACAGATTCATAATAAATCTCAGACAAGAAAGTTTGAATATACTCCTAACAAAGATTTACAAGTCTCCATGCAATGTGGTCACTTTTCTAAGTAGATTAATAATATAACCACATTTCAAACTGCACTGAAAGTATAAGAAAAATAATTATGTTCAAGAAAATCTAATTGTGCTAAATCAGGGCTTGTATGTTAGGCATAATCAAAATGAAAGAAAAAGAGTGGGACCTAACACTTTAGACAAAATAAATAAAATAAAATTCAGAGGGAGAGTGCAAACGTTGGATAAAAAATCCATCTGTGAGCTTAAAGATGGTGGCATGAGAGGTGACACAGAAACCTCCACCCAAAACAACAAATAATATGAAAATATAGCAATTACAACTAACCCTTTAGGACAGAAAGGAAGGAAGAGTGCAAAAGATAAGAGCAAAACTCAAAGAAAAGGGTGAAGCATGAAAGCAGCAATTGAGCGGGACCCATGCCCTTCCCCCACCACAGTTCAACGATGGGAGGAAAAGAAAACAGAGCTGGAAGGGGGCGGAGGCCTAGGACTGCAGAATACCCAGCCCTGGAGATCTGCTCTGGGAGCACAAACCTATGTTGCATGGTGCTCTGTAGATTAGTGGGGTTGGAAAGCTAAGACAGGAAGAATAATTGGAGAGACTGAGATTTCAGATGCTTGTGGAGAACAGGTAAAAAAAACTGGCCACTCTGGGACAAAAGAAAGGCAGGCAGTCTGAGAGACTTTCCAGCAGTAAGAGAGCTGCTAAGGGGGTGAGGACTGCACAGAACTTGCCACTCAGAAGAAAGGACGGGTGGACAAAATCATCCTGGGGCCCTCAGCCCAGTAGGATGAGAACTTTCAGGAGCTTGAGGTGCTCCATAAACCTAACAGGCAGTGCAACTCTGAGGGTCCCCACTGCGATATGCATATGACGCTCCCTCCTTCTAGCACATGCAAGCTCATAAAACTGCTACACCTGGCACCAGCCAGCCAGAGGGCAGCCCTGACTGTGGCAGCTACAAGGGTGCAGCATAGAGGCTCCTCCCTGTGCACCTGGCCCAATGGCCCTGGCAATGGAGGCAACCACTGCAGCCAGGAAGGAGGAAAGAGCTCTTTCCTCCCAGTAAGCACAGGCACCACTCATCTGGAACCCCTGCCATTACTCAAGGGGCTAGGCAGTTCCAGAGAGGAGAGCTTCTGGGAAACACAGAGTGCTGCTAACACCAAGTTATGATTACAAATATGAAACATCAAAAACGTTGTACAAACTAAAATCCCACAAACACCAGAAAGAGGGCCAAGTGAATCTGAACTTACTGATCTTCCTGACAACGATTTCAAAATAAAAATCATAAACATGCTAATGGAGGTACAGAAAAATATTAAAGAACTCAGGGAGGATTTCAGGGAAGAGAGAAAAACTTTGAAAAACACAGTATCCTAAATGAAACATACAATGGAGGGATTAAAAGGCAGATTAGATGAGGAAGAGAAGATGGTAAATGAAATAGAAATTAGACAACAGGAATAAAAAGAAGACGAGGCACAGAGAGAAAAAGGACTTCTAAGAATGAAAGAATTTAAAGAGAAATGCCTGAAAAATACAAACATAACAATATTCACATTACAGGGGCATCACAAGAAGAAGAGGGGAGAAAAGAAACAGAAATTGTCTTTGAAGAGGAAATTGCTGAAAACTTCCCCAATCTGGGGAAGGAAACAGTCTGTCAGGCCATGGAGGTGCACAGATCTCCCAACACAAGGGACCTAAGGAAGACAACACCAAGATGTATAATAATTAAAATGACAAAGAACTCAGATAAAGACAGAGTATTAAAAGCAGCCAGAGAGAGAAAAAAGATGACATGCAAAGGAAAACCCATCAGGCTATCATCAGACTAGTCAACAGAAACCTTACAGGACAGAAGGGAGTGGCATGACATATTTACTGCAATGAAACAAAAGGGTGTCAAACCAAGAATACTCTACTTAGAAAGATTACCATTTAAATTTGAAGGAGAGATTAAACAATTTCCAGATAAGCAAAAGCTGAGGGAATTTAACTCCCACAAATCATCTCTACAGTGTATTTTAAAGGTACTGTTACAGATGGAAATGCTCTTAAGGATAAATAGCTGTCAGTAGAAAAAATAAAACCACAGTAAAAGATGGAGACCAATTAATTACTAAGCAAATGCAAAATTAAAACATCTACCCAAAGAGTCAGTCAAGGGATAGACAAAGAGTACAGAATGACACCTAATATGTAAAAAGTTGAGGAGGAAGGAAAAAAATAGAGAACCTTCAGATTGTATTTGTAATACTGTAATAACTGAGTTTAATTAGTCGGTTAGATAGTAAAGAAGCTACCCTTCAACCTTTGGTAACCATGAATCTAAAGCCTGCAATGGCAAGAAGTACATTTCTATCGATAATCACCCTAAATGTAAATGGTCTGAATCACACACCAATCAAAAGATGCAGAGTCAATGAATGGGTAAAAAAACAAGACCCATCTATATACTGCCTACAAGAGACTCACTTCAAACCCAAAGACATACAGACTAAAAGCAAAGGATGGAAAAGATATTTCATGCAAATAATAGGAAGAAAAAAGCAGGAGTTCCAGTACTTGGAGCAGACAAAATAGACTTCAATACAAAGAAAGTAACAAGGGAAAAAGAAGGACATAAGATAATGATAAAGGAGTCAGGCCAACAAGAGGATATAAGCATTAGAAATATCTATGCACCCAACACAGGAGCACCGACATATGCGAAACAAATGCTAACATACTTAAAGGGGTAAACAGAAGGAAATGCAGTCATTTTAGCAGACTTCAACACTTCACTCACTCCAAAAGACAATCAACCAAACAGAAAATAAGTAAGGACACAGAAGCACTGAACAACACATCAGAACACATGGACATAACAGACATCTACAGAACACTCTACCCAAAAGCAGCAGGATACACATTCTTCTTAAATGCACATGGAACATTTTCAAGAATAGATTATATACTAGGAAACAAAAAGAGCCTCAGCAAATTCAGGATTGAAATTGTACAAATGAGCTTCACAGACCATAAAGATATGAAACTAGAAATAAATTATGCAAAGAAAACAAAAAGACAACAAAAACATGAAGGCTTACAACATGATCCTGCATAATCAATGGATCAATGACCAAATAAAAACAGAGATCAAGCAATATATGGAGACAAATAAAAGCAATAACTCAACACCGCAAAATCTGTGGAACGAAGTGAAGGCTATGTTAAGAGGGAAGTATACTGTAATATAGGCTTACATCAGAAAAAAAGAACAATTCCATAAGAACAACATAAATTCACAATTAATGAAACTGGAAAAAGAACAAAGGAGGCCCAAAATCAGTAGAAGTGATGTAAGATCAGAACAGAAATAAATAAAATTGAGAAGAATAAAACAATAGAAATAATCAATGAAGGCAAGAGTGGTTTCTTCAAGAAAATTAACAAAATAGATAAACCCTACCAGACTTCTCAAGAAAAAAAGAGAGTCTAAACACATAAACAGAATCAGAGATGAGAAAGAAAAATGACTATGGAGACCACGGAAATACAGAGAATTATTAGAGTATACCAGGAAAAATTATATGCTAACAAACTGGATAACTTACAAAACATGGACAACTTTCTAGAAAAACACAATATTCCAAGGCTGACCCACAAAGAAACACAAAATCTGAAGAGACGATTTACCAGCAACAAAATTGAATTGGTAATCAGAAAACTACCTAAAAACAAAACCCGTAGGCCAGATGGCTCCACAACTAAATGTATCAAAGACTTAGTGAAGACCTAATACCCATCCTCCTAGAAGTGTTCCAAAAAGTAGAAGAGGAGGTAAACTCATTCTGTGAGGCCAGCATCACCCTAAGTACCAAAACAATGGAAAGTCACCACAAAAAAAGTAACTTACAAACCAATATACCTGGTGAAAATAGATGGAAAAATACTCAACAAAATATTAGCAAACTGAATTCAAAAATATATCAAAAGGATCACACACCATGACCAAGTGGGGTTCATCCCAGGGATGCAAGGATGGTACAACATCCGAAAACCCATCAACATCATCGACCACATCAACAAAGGGAAGGAGAAAAACCACATGATCATCTCCACAGATGCTGAAAAAGCATTCGACAAAATTCAACATCCATTCATGATAAAAACTCTCAACAAAATGGGCAAAGAGGGCAAGTACCTCAACGTAATAAAGGCCATATAT